GCTTTAAAATGGCAACCAAAACCTGAAAGATGTGGAAGAAAGCGAAAAACTACCATTCAAATGGATAGAAGAATAGCCAAAATGGCAAGGACTCAGCCAACAATCAGCTCCAGGAAGATCAAAGAAGGTCTAAAGTTACCTGTGAGTACTGTTACAATTAGAAGGCACCTATGTGAAGCCTAGCTATCTGCAAGAAGCCCCCGCAAAGTCCCACTGTTGAAAAAAAGACACGTGCTGAAGAGGTTACAATTTGCCAAAGAGCACAATGACTGGCCTAAAGAGAAATGGCGCAACATTTTGTGGACTGATGAAAGTAAAATTGTTCTTTTTGGGTCTAGTGGCCGGAGACAGTTTGTCAGACGACCCCCAAACACTGAATTCAAGCCACAGTACACTGTGAAGACAGTGAAGCATAGTGGTGCAAGCATCATGATATGGGGATGTTTCTCATACTACGGTGTTGGGACTATTTATCGCATACCAGGGATCATGGATCAGTTTGAATACATCAGAATACTTGAAGAGGTCATGCTACCTTATGCTGAAGAGGAAATGCCCTTGAAATGGGTGTTCCAACAAGACAACGACCCCAAACACACCAGTAAACGTGCAACATCTTGGTTCCAGATCAACAGATTGACGTTATGGAGTGGCCAGCCCAAAACCCGGATCTTAATCCAATAGAAAACTTGTGGGGTGACATCAAAAATGCAGTTTCTGAGGCAAAACCTAGAAATAGAGAAGAACTGTGGAATGTAGTCCAATCATCCTGGGCTGGAATACCTGTTCACAGGTGCCAGAAGTTGGTTGACTCCATGCAACACAGATGTACAGCAGATCTCAGAAACAGTGGTTATACAACTTAATATTAATTAAGTGATTCAAAGGAAAGCAAAATCTTCAAACATTTTTTAGTTTGTATAGTGAATGTTTGAGTTTGTAAAGAAGAATACAAACACTGCTATTTTTTTGAACAGTCTAATATTCACTGTTCTTCAATTTTTTTTAGAGGAACAACACAAATTTGATATATTTTTCTTCGTGTTTTGATTTGGAATAGAATGTGTAGTGTTCCCAATGCATTTGTGTGTATGGAAATAAAAGCTATTGGATGGATTTTGAGCTTTATTCACTTTTTTCAACACAAAAAAGCAGTTTTTGCTTTTGATTTGCTTTTTTGCAATGCGCTTTGCGTTTTTACACACATTTTTAACATTTATTTTCACCAACTTGACAACAGTTTTGATGTCACAGGATGTCAGAACACATATTACTTCCTGCTTCCTCCCCATTTTTTATGTGCATAGTGTGTGGACCATGATGGCTGAAATGTTTTTTCTTGCTGCAGCGACATCTACAGCTATTGTCTTAGATCAATACGTGTAAAAAAAACTAAGGAGAGCAGCCCTTTAAATATATACACCATAAATTAAATGAACAAAGATATGTAAACATATACATCAATAAATTCCTATTCAATGTGACTAAAATGAAATGTCCATCAAGCAAATGTGCAACAAAAAGTCCCGTGTCACCAGACATTTTGTGTATATAAATCATGAAGAGTGACTGGTTCCTCTCCACAGAAGGACCCAAAGATAAATGTCAGTGCTACACCCTGTGTGCAGCTGAAATGCCAACTCACCAGAATGATATGGCCTCTAAAAGTAGCCAGACCAGCAATATAGATGGACTTTTGGTTTCATACAATTATCTCTTCTTCATGAGGTGTAGCACTACTCCACATATAAATATTCTCAATGGTAAATTCTCATCAGCCCAGGGGCGGACTGACCATTTGGAAACTTGGGCACTGCCCGAGGGCCGGGGTCAGTAGGGGGCCCCATGAGATGCCCCTGGTACCTTTTGCATAGGCTTTTTTGAGTTTGGGCAAGGACACGGGCCCCATGATCCCCTATTGCCCAGGGGCCCCGTGAGTTGTCAGTCCGCCCCAGCATCAACCCAGTTATAAATGAAGAAAGTGCCCAAAAGTAAGGTAATATTGTGTAGTACTTTATTAAAATTAGTGAAATATCAAGGCAAAAATGTTGATGCGCTCACATGATTGAGGTGCCAAGAGGGGCACCAACTTAAACAGCTCACTAAGGGGATCCTCGTGATGAGTTCCAGTTTGGCCAGAGGTGAACTGACAGTAACTCAGGGCAGCTGGAATGGCGTAACTATCCGGGATGCTTTCACCAGCTACTTTATGTATCTTGAAGGTCAGCTGCCATGGCAGCTAGATGCCATTGCATGAAGGATCTTGTTGCACCTCTACTTCCTGGTTATCAATGCAGCCTGGAAAGTTTCTGGCATTCTGGGATGTTTTTGTTAAAGAGGAAATGTTTCTGGCACAGGTCAGAATAAAAACACAAAAAGCTGCAAAAACGCAGCACAAACTCATCCAAAAATGCACTACTTGGATTTCAGCAGCACCTCCATTGAACTCTATTGTAGCAAAAATGCTGCTTTTTGTTATAATTCCTTTATTTTAATAGAGGTTTAACAGTTTACAAATATGGGAAAATGCCATGTCTTGAAAATGTCATCAATTGTCTAGGTAACACTGAGATAACCTAATTCCAAAGAACAATAGGATACTGGAGCGTAATCTGGAGATATAAAATAAAAGATATTACATGGATCATTGATCACAGTAACGGGATCTAGGAAAAACATGCATACTTACGGTAGTCTAATCCCATATATGGTATTAAATAAACAAATATCAAATTTTAAGCATAAAAACAGCATGAAAGGTGCTTCCAGGAGCAGGGGAGAAAAGTGAATGAGGAGAAACCAAGCCGGAGCTACCCGATGAGAGAAAAAGAAGATGGGGGCATCACTGGGTTGTGGCTAGCTCACTGAGGTAGGCATCTGTGTACATAAAATAGTGCCAGGGTCTCAAAGTTTCAGTAAACACTTCCAGTGCAGATTGGTCGTAAGGTCTTTCATGTCCCTGAGTTCATTGACCTTTCATTGGCCATAGATCTTTCATCGGCGGGTTGACATCTCTCCAGCGGAGCGGAATGCAGCATTGAAGAGTTGTATGGTGAGGGAGTGCTTGTATTTTTTAGTAAGTCTCCCTGTCAGGTGCAACAGGCAGGCTGCAGGGTCATTGCTTAGGTCAACCACAGTGAGTTGCTTAATGACGCGGAGCACTGCCTGCCAAAAGGGCTGAATTAGTGGGCACTGCCAGAAGATGTGGACCATGGATCCCTCAGAAATTCCACAGTGCCAGCAGGAGCCCAATATCTGAGGGGAAATGTGGTGGAGTATGGTGGGGCCCTCATACCACCTGGTAAGTATTTTGTAGCTGGTTTCCTGAACCCTCGGGGCAATAGAGGATTTGTGGGAGAAATGGAGAATTTTCTCTCTTTGCTGCGTCATAAGTTGTAGGCCCAGTCTGCATCTCATTTGGCTAGAAAAGGGTGAATCAGGGACACATATATCTTGGAGAAGGAATGGCATACTGGTTCCCCACTATGACATGGACTCAAAACCTGTAAGAGGCCTGGAGATGCCTGGAGCGAGGGTGCGTCAGCAGAGAAAGAAACACAGCTGAAGTCCTCCCCAGAAGTCCAAGGGAAGGTAAGCAAGTCAAGAAAGGTCTGTGGAAATCAGCTCACCCCCCCCCCCCCCCGAGCTCAGAAAATCGGTCAGGTGAGTGTAGTCAGATAAATTTAGGGTGGCAAAGACTGGGGCCAAATTCTGGATTACTTAAAATGGGAATCATAGGGGAAGGCTGTGGAGAGATTGGAGAGGTATGGAACGTTGCCCTTGAAACCTGTAAAGTGTTACCTAGGGTAGGATGTGCACATAGTTCCTTGGAAATCCAGGGCCAACTCATGGCGGTACCTCCAGAGTCCTCCATTTCCATGTCAACCCAACATTTGGCCCCCCATGACAGTGCCATTCCACCAATCTGGTAAGATGAGTTGCACTGCAGTAGGCCCGAATATCCAGAAAGCCAACGCCCCCAGACATCTTAGGCAGGGTCAAGCGATGTAGAGCTTGACTGGGCTTCCAATGTGACCAAAGAGGGAACTAAGTCTGTGGAAACACGTTGAGGGAGGCATATTGGAAGGGCTTGTAGTAGGTAGAGAACTCCAGGGAGTAACATCACCTTGAGAGCAGTGCATCACCCAAGCCATGTCAATGTTAACAAATGCTAATGTAAGAGGTCTTCCTTAATTTTGAGGAGAAGTGGTTTTTAGTTAGCCCCATACAATTTAGAGGGATCAGGGGTGATCTTCGGGCCCAGATACTGAATGGCTTCTGAAGCCCATCTAAAAGGGAAAGAATGGTTTAAGGCCATGGATGGTGGTCGCATCCACAGAGATGTTAAGGGCAGAACTCTGACTAGTTGACCTTGAGGTTGGATAGCCGTTCCTCCGCAGCACCCATAAAATATTGGGCAATGATGTAAGAGGATTTGTGACAAAAAAAATCAGGTCATCCACAAAAGCTGCAACTTTGTGGCTTCCCGAAGGTTTACAAAAAACCGGTAATATTAGGATCTGTGCGGACTGTAAACAGGAAAGGTTCCAGCGTTAAGATAAAGATTAAAGGAAAGAGGGGGCACCCCTGATGAATCCCATTTGAAATGGGGAAGAAGTCAGACCTGGTCTTGTTGACTTTCACTGCCGCTGAAGGGGGTGAGTAGAGAGTAGAAATTCAGCAAAGCATGGGGGTCCCGGGGCCAATATGTATTAGAGTCGCTTACATAAAATATCACCCCATCGAATGCGTTTTCTGCATCTGCGGAGAGCAGAATGAGTGGGCGCTTACTGGTCCTGGCAGCATGGATTAGATTGAGTACTCATATAGTATTGTCTCTTGGCTCTCTAAGAGGGACAAAGGCTGCCTGATCTTTGTGAATCAAATGAGGAATTTGTGGAATTAACCTATTGGTTATGACTAGAGATGAGCGAATTATTCAAAAATTTGATTCGGCTGATTCGGCGAATTCGTGGAATAAATTCGGCTTCAGAGAGCCTTTATATTAGTGCAGAACACTGTACCTTTAATTTAAATGCCCTTGGAGTCTGCTGGGGAAGAGAAATAATACTGTCAGTCAGTATGACATGCAGATGAGTGCCGTCGATCTTAGAATCACCGCACACTTCACTCATTTGGGCAGTCACGGGGCCAAAACCAGAGTGTGGAGCCACAGTGTGGCGGTGGAGGCAGCAGCAATGGGAGGCCATACAGCACCCTATGACAAAATGGAACCCACCAGCAGTGTGAGGAGACCTGAAAGTGGCACATGGCAGAGTGTGGCGATGGAGACAGCAGCAATGGGAGGCCGTACAGGGACCCATGACACACTCTGGACCTGGCAGCAGCATGAGGAGGCGGTACAGGGGCCCATGACAGATTACGGGCCTGGCAGCAGCAGCATGAGGAGTCGGTACGGGGGCCCATGGCAGATTACGGGCCTGGCAGCAGCAATGGGAGGCCATACAGCACCCTATGACAAAATGGAACCCACCAGCAGTGTGAGGAGACCTGAAAGTGGCACATGGCAGAGTGTGGCGATGGAGACAGCAGCAATGGGAGGCCAAACAGGGACCCATGACACACTCTGGACCTGGCAGCAGCACGAGGAGGCGGTACAGGGGCCCATGACAGATTACGGGCCTGGCAGCAGCATGAGGAGTCGGTACGGGGGCCCATGGCAGATTACAGGCCAGGCAGCAGCAATGGGAGGCCGTACAGGGACCCATGACACACTCTGGACCTGGCAGCAGCATGAGGAGGCGGTACAGGGGCCCATGACAGATTACGGGCCTGGCAGCAGCATGAGGAGTCGGTACGGGGGCCCATGGCAGATTACGGGCCTGGCAGCAGCAATGGGAGGCCCGTAATCTGCCAGCACCCTATGACAAAATGGAACCCACCAGCAGTGTGAGGAGACCTGAAAGTGGCACATGGCAGAGTGTGGCGATGGAGACAGCAGCAATGGGAGGCCGTACAGGGACCCATGACACACTCTGGACCTGGCAGCAGCAAGAGGAGGCGGTACAGGGGCCCATGGCAGAGTGGCGAAGCGTAAGCAGCTTAAATTGAAGGACATACAGAGGCCTATGTTAAAAATAATAACATGTTTGGGGCATGATTCATGGCGGATTTAGTCAGTTGTGTCAGGAACTGGTGGTTTGAAATCCAGACTAATCCACGCCTGATTCATTTTCACAAACGTGAGTCTCTCCACACTTTGGGTGGACAGTCGTGTCCTCCGCGGAGTTACAATACCTCCTGCCGCACTAAAAACACGTGCTCCGATGCCACGCTACTGGCCGGGCATGACAGCCTTTCAAGGGCAAATTCAGCTAGTTGGGGCCAAAGGTCAAGTTTCGTTGCCCAGTAGTCAAGGGGATTGTCTACCTCGGTTGGCAGGGTGCTGTCCAAGTAGGCCCAAGCCTGTTTGAGGTCCTGCTCCAGGTCCACCTGATGCTGCTGCTGCTGCGGCTGGTTAGTAGTTTCCTCACTGCGCTGGTGAAGAAAGCTACTCATCATCGACTGCAGACTGAGGCAGCCGCTGCTGGTGGAGCTGCCACTGCTCCTACCACCCCACCCCTGGAGCGGGGGCTGGGGCAGGCAGAACCGCCGTATCTTTATCACGGTTTTCCCAGACCACCGAATGGCGACGCTGCATATGCTGACGCAACGCTGTAGTCCCAACATGGGCCCCCTGGCCACGCTTGACTTTCTGGCCACATAGTCGACATACGGCTACGTTTACTTCCTCGGGCGGCTTGACGAAAAATTGCCACACCGCCGAGTAGGAAACTTTGCCCCCGCTACTCCTCACTGGCTGACTGCTACTTCCTCCGTGCACAACGGCACCACTACTGGCCGTGGTGGTAGGCTGCAGTGGAGCTGGTGCTCTACTCCGTGGCCGTTTGCCTCCACTGACACTGCTGCCTCCTGGGCAACCCACCGACTGTTTTGCTCGCTGCCAAGCTGGCACCCTCTTCTCCTGATGATGCGGAAGCAATAGCCTGATGACGACGAGGCTGCTAAGTGCGATCAGCCTCATCATCATCAATTAGGGTCTCCGCCTCACTACTAGCCCCCTCGCCTGCGTGTGGGTCAGGAGACAGACCTGTCTCTAGACCGGCTACCGAGCCACTCTCCTCGCCAGTACTTCTTCGCCTGGCTGCTGAAGAGGCGGATGTCTCCCCTCGTTCCTGACCGCCCTCTGTTAGCTCTTCCTCACTGTACAGTGGGGCTGAGCCCACAGCATGCGATATTTCGCTTGGTGAGGGAACACCAAAGGACAGGGGCAGGTAGAGGACACGTGATTTCAGTGGGATTGCTCCCGGGCCATGCCAACTAACGGTTGTGTCTGACGTACCCACCGACCGTTGGCTGTAGGTGTCAGAGGTGACCTGGGAAGAGGAAGACGACCGAGCCAACCAATCGATGACGGCAGGGTTGTCGGTGGAGACACGACCGCTGGATGACACCGGGAGCACTGGCCTCTGGCTGCAACTAGTGCTGCCTCGACCCCTTCCTCTGCTGCCACGTCTGCTCGCTCCTGAAACATTGCCTCCTCTGCCACTCCTCTGCGTGTTGTCTGACATACTCTTTAATTCAACGATTCTGTGTCCCTGAGTAACAATTCTGTGTCCCTCAGTAACGATTCTGTGTCCCTCAGTAACGATTCTGTGTCCCTGAGTAACAATTCTGTGTCCCTGAGTAACAATTCTGTGTCCCTGAGTAACAATTCTGTGTCTGTCCCTGAGTAACAATTCTGTGTCCCTGAGTAACAATTCTGTGTCCCTGAGTAACGATTCTGTGTCCCTGAGTAACGGTTCTGTGTCCCTGAGTAACGATTCTGTGTCCCTCAGTAACAATTCTGTGTCCCTGAGTAACAATTCTGTGTCTGTCCCTGAGTAACAATTCTGTGTCCCTGAGTAACAATTCTGTGTCTGTCCCTGAGTAACAATTCTGTGTCCCTCAGTAACAATTCTGTGTCCCTCAGTAACAATTCTGTGTCCCTGAGTAACAATTCTGTGTCCCTGAGTAACGATTCTGTGTCCCTGAGTAACAATTCTGTGTCCCTGAGTAACAATTCTGTGTCCCTGAGTAACGATTCTGTGTCCCTGAGTAACGATTCTGTGTCCGTCAGTAACAATTCTGTGTCCCTGAGTAACGATTCTGTGTCCCTGAGTAACGATTCTGTGTCCCTCAGTAACGATTCTGTGTCCCTCAGTAACAATTCTGTGTCCCTGAGTAACAATTCTGTGTCCCTGAGTAACGATTCTGTGTCCCTGAGTAACAATTCTGTGTTCCTGAGTAACAATTCTGTGTCCCTGAGTAACGATTCTGTGTCCCTCATTAACAATTCTGTGTCCCTGAGTAACAATTCTGTGTCCCTGAGTAACAATTCTGTGTCTGTCCCTGAGTAACAATTCTGTGTCCCTGAGTAACAATTCTGTGTCCCTCAGTAACAATTCTGTGTCCCTGAGTAACAATTCTGTGTCCCTGAGTAACAATTCTGTGTCTGTCCCTGAGTAACAATTCTGTGTCCCTGAGTAACAATTCTGTGTCCCTGAGTAACGATTCTGTGTCCCTAAGTAACGATTCTGTGTCCCTAAGTAACGATTCTGTGGCCCTAAAGTCTCTTTGGCCCTAACTCTGTCCCTAATGCAGACAGGTCTGTCTCTCTTGAATGACCGGAGGCTAATGGAGAATTCTAAGATGGCCGCAATTTATAGCTCCACCATTACACAGTGCTGGCTGGCTGGCTGCTGATTGGCTAATGCGATCACATGTCATGAATGAATGCATTATGGGTCAGCGCGCCTTGTCTGCGTGCCTTCCCAGACATCCCCGCTCCGTCACCACACATGTCGCCGCCATTTTTGGGAAAATTCGATTCGTGCATCCGAAGTTTGCTAATTTTTTCGGATTCGGCGCGAATCGAATTTTTCCTGATCTTCGAAACAAATTCCACTTCGCCATGTTCGATTCGCTCATCTCTAGTTATGACTTTTGCGAAGAGTTTCAAATCAGTATTGAGCAGAGCTATCGGCCGATAACTACCGCAAAGATAGGGGTCTTTGCCATCCTTGGGAATCATGGAGATAGAGGCCCAGAGGGAGTCAAAGGGCATGGATTTCCCTTTCACCAAAGAATTCCAAGTGGTCACCAGGTGGGGGGGGAGGGGGCAAGCAAATCACCAAGGTTTTATAGTAGGATGCAGTTAAATCATCCAGGCCCAGGGTCTTCTTTGGTTTGGATTGGGACAGTGCAATGCTGCTTTTTGGGTTTCAATTCCCTGATCCTTTCCAAAAATGCAGCGCATAGATGTGAACATGCCCCATAGGAAACCATGTTAAATTAACTATAGTGCTTTTCTGCAAAAAGCAATTTAATAAAATGTATTGCTGTGAATATATTGACAGTATCTGCTCACACTATGCGGGAGATTTATTAAAACTGGTGCACTCAGAATCTGGTGCAACTGTGCATAGTAGCCAATCAGCTTCTAACTTCAGCTTGTGCAATTAAGCTTTGTCAATAAAATCTCAGAAGCTGATGGCTTGATAAATTTAATAATTAAGAAAGTTTAGCTGCAGAGAGATCACAGGAAATACTGGTAACTAGTCATTTGCTCTGTCTGCCTAGATACCTACTCCAGTCCTGCTTATTGTGGCTTTACTTAACCCTGGTGCATTTACAAGTATTATAGCATCCCTGCCTTATCATTTTCAGAATAATAGCTTGTTGTTATTCCCTGGGGAAAGGATGCTGCAGGTAGAAATCTGCATCCTCCTTAAACTCTGCATGGCAATTGGGCAATAACTCTCTGCATGGCAATTGGGCAATAACTCTCTGCATGAGATCTTCAGATGGACGATGCCCATGCCTCCAATCACCTATTTGTTTTTTAGACAACAAAGACCTGGCTGTTGCAAAGGAGTCAGCTCTACAGCTCTTAGATGAAACTACAAGATCCAACATGAAGGCACAGAGACATGCACAGATGAGCAGGCATCAAAGAAATCTAAATGTATTTTGCACAAAGTGCTTAGTGAGAATTAAAGTGTATGTAAACTCTAAAAATAGTATCTGCTCCTCTTTGGTCTGTTACATATATCATTGAAAGCATTTTATTATACTGTATCTGTTCAACTAGTGTAAAAAAGTAGCCATTCATCCAGACAGAAATCTTGTGAGCTGATATCTTCCTGTGCTTTCTGCCTCCGGATTGTAGTCATTTAGCATGGCTCTCTGCTATCTAAGGACTAAAGACACCTCCCCTGTTATGATGAAGAAAGGGAGGTGTTATGTAGCTCCAACACAGTGTTCCATAGTCCCAACACAGTCCCTGACCAAAGATGACAACATTGCTTAGTACAGCTGTCATCCTAGGACAGGGAGTGTGTTAATGGTTAGATTACAAGAATAAAATAAAGAAAAAAAGTGTGCAAATAGAAAATGAATTAAGCCATCACATTTAAGGACTGGTAAGCTGCAATATTATACATTTTTGTTCTTAGATTCAGACACATTAAGGGTCACTCTTTTGGGCCTGTCAACTGCTTTAGGCCAATATATAGACAGAGCATGGACTAGCATGGAAAAAGACAAATATTTTATTTCATGATGCCTAATGTAAGTTAAATGCATATTCATGCCTTGAATAGACATTCCAAGAGTTGAATAGATGTCTCCAAAAAAAGTGTCACAGTTAATAAAAATCATAGCACAGTTTATTTCTTATGCAGAGATGCTGCAAGAGCATGTAGTATAATCATGTTG